TTTTTTTACTTTGAGAAGTTCTGTCAATCAAAGCATAAATATGTGTTTCTCTGTACATAAAATTTCACACGATTTGTTAATATTAATGTATGGATAATAAAAACTTGATAATATTTTTCTGGATTTTTGCACTTTATTTGTATCATTGTCGTATGAGAAGTAATCTTGTCCTTATTAGAGATATTGAAACTAATCCAGGGCCACAAACTAGTTTATCCAAACAGACACAACACTGACTCTACATATTTGCAGATCTGATTTGTATACTTCCTTGTCATTTTACCTGTTGTACTGGTTTGGTGCTATCTGGTTTCCTTGCTGAGAATAATGCTGACCTGGATGGAGAGTGCTATAAACTTGAAAATGCCATAGAAATCACGTTTGCCAATTTATGTCCATGCAACTTTAGAATGACAACTAGCGAAGGCAGTGTCATTCATGACTTGTCTAATGATATCTTCTGTTCTTTAATTGCCATGTGCATTGCTAACAGCGGAGCTATCTCAGCCGACAGGCTGCTTGTTTTTTTTATGCGGTATCTTGGACGTGCTCTGTCAGTTTTCATTCAAATTTGGCACATACATGTACTTTATACATGTTAGGATGCATGTCCATGACAATTTGTTTCAAAATCTGGTCAAGGATGGCCGATTGACAGCCATCTGACTTTTTGGCCTCACTACTATATTTCCACAATTTATTTACCATTTTCATTCGTATTTGGCACATACATCATACATATCAGTGTGTTTCATAATCAGATCAAAGTTGGCCGAATAACGGCTGTTTTTATTTTTGGCCATATTTGACTACTACACGGAACACGTGTTTTGATGTAAATAAACAATCTGTTGTATACGCCACTTGAAACTCAAGTTTCAAGGACACGCTCGCGACAACCCCTCCGCTTTAATATGACGAGCACAAAGAGAACTTTCAAAAATTTAACGGGGACTGTGTCATTTTCAATGACTTGTTTTAAAAAAATTATGTTTTTTTAAAGTGGATAGTTGCCATTTTGGCAGTATTATAATGTACGATTTTCTGTTGCGACTTTAGTGCTCTAGAGAATGAGCAACAATAGTTGTATCACAGATTCTGTGTCAAGGATACATTATATTGGCTTAGAGGGCACACTGGTTGGAAGAGGTTAAGGGGTCACCCGCTCCAGTTGCATCCAATGTTTTGCTGTTTTTATAATTAAGTCATCTTCAAAGTTTATAAAATAATATTATTTGGTATTGCTGCTGCATTGAACTGAATGTCAATGGGATTTGGCATGGGAAAAATAAGACATCAGAACATAAAAAAAGTGTGGTGGGGTTTATCAGCTGAATTTAAGAGTCTTTATGAAGCTCACGGGAGATCTTCATGAAATAAAATAAAAAAAACCATGAAAATGAAGAGAATACAAAAAAAGATTTTTCTTATTGGACACAAGGGGGCGCTATAGTTCCACCTGTTTGTGATATGTACCACATTATAATAATCCTGTTTTTATTGCAGACTGGGTATGGCCTGTACAAGTCTATCTAATGATTTGATTACAAGAAATGCTGAAGAGAGTTACAACTCGTATGAAAACATTAAAAGTGATCTTGTGACGTTTTTAGATGGAGTGGTTGGGGTGAATATATTACATTTATATTACACTAATGTATACTCATAGCAGCCAGCTTTGTTTCTGTCAGTTGGTAGAGTAGACTGGGTACCAAAACCAGATACCAAATTACATACATGTAGCTGCCATATTGATTTGAATCAGTGAAAAATTAATATAATAATATCATAATTAATGTAATAATTTACATTGTCATCAAATTGTTATCCAGACTATATGATTGGAGTAATGTATTCTCGCCGCCAGAGTTTATTTCCGCTCTGACACTCAACGAAATATTTCTGTGTAGGCTTGCCGTAAAAGAGGTTGAGGCTGTGGCGTACGACGATAGAGTAATGGGACTATATAATACTATTGCTGGATTATTTTAATAATTTAACAAAATGTAGGGTATATTTTTCTTCAAAATGCTGATTTAGCCACTTTTATAATTTGTTAAAATTATCCAACAATCTATTAATTATATAGTCTCATTTTATAAATATTGAAACATGTCAATAATGCCACAATTTTTTTTTTCTACAGCAATTTGAACATATTGTTATTGATTCCTTTGATGTTGCTGTAAAAGAAATCACGATAATATTAGACGGTATTGACATATATCATTTTTGTTGTTGTTGTATAAGATGGAATAAACAAAAGAATATAGCACTGGGAGTAGCCCTAAAGAAGTTATATTCATACCTGTATTGTGTTTTTGTTGAATTTACAAATAATAACATTGTGAAATGCTATAGAGCACTTAACAGCATGAAGACACATCAAAGTGACTCGTGAAGACGAAAACATTATTTCCAAATTCATCTACATTATTTTGTTTTATCATGACTGTCAAATTGGTCATGTTTACTTTCTGTTTGCTATGTGATGTCTTTTGTTACTAACGATATTTGTTAAAATAGACTTATTTAATATTTGTCCCTGTTGTTTTTTCTATTGTAGAACGAGGTGTACGTCTTGCTGGTCCGGTACAGGACTATTTGAATAAGACTGTTGATCCTGTACTAGCCAGTTTTGATAGTCTCTCACAACGTAAGTCCTTTGTTAATCATTAATGACTTGGAATGTGTTCACAGTGATGTCTCTTCTAGGAGTGCAGAAAATTTGAAAGGTTTACACTTTCTTGATAATTTGCTGGGATAAGGAGGGGGGGACCCAAGCTTGTTTTCTACATGTTAGAATACATGTCCATTACAATTAGTTTCAAAATCAGATCAAGGATTGTTGACTGTCTAAAATCTTGCTTTTTGATCATATTCCTTTATTTCTGTACATGACCCTGGACAAATGAATTTCAGTTTGCATACACAAAATGCATGAATAGTATATCCTGTTTAATTTCTGACCATATATTTTGATTTTGGAACAATGACTTGTCTTTAAACTTTTATATAGTGATAACTTTGCTCAAATTATTATGTCAGATGTGTATAAAAATCTGGATTCATTTGTTTGTGTCATCCCACTGCACAGGTAGCATATTAAAGATTTCCCATTGGTAGATTCATTCATGTAGTGAGGATAAAATAAAGATTCAGTTTACTGTAAACTTTGATTTCATTAAATTAGAAATTTCACAAATGTTTATCTCTGAAAACCAATAAATATGTTTTGCTGAGTGAAAGGTTTCTTCAAATAAGTGACAAATAATTCTATGGAAATTTTATGATTTTCTCATAGTGTAGCAATTCAAAAAACAGGGATTATTAATTTGGGTCCTGTGTGTTTGTCTGGAATCATTTCACCCGGATTGGTTGATCTTTTTCAAATTTTACACAAAGATGATGCATATTTGCATATATATGCATGACAAGTTACAATGTACCTCATGATCCAAGTGAAAATGGCTGACTGGTGACCATTTTTGACACTTTTTAGCTCCGCTGTTGACTTTGTCGAGCGGAGCTTATCATATGAGTGATTGTCAGTCGTCGTCCGTGTCAATGTTTAGCTCCGCTGTCGACTTTGTCGAGCGGAGCTTATCATATGAGTGATTGTCCGTCGTCGTCCGTGTCAATGTTTTACTTTTTCGACTTCTTCTTGAAAACTACAAGCCTGAATGCTTTGATACTTGGTGTATATGTACCTTGGGTAGACCTCTCTTAGGTTTGTTCATTTCATGTTGATATCTTCAATTCTCTAATTTTGGTGAATATTTTTGTCATTTTTGGTAAAAAGTGATATTTTCGACTTCTTGTTAAAAACCAAAAGTCCAATTGCTTTGATATTACATATATAGGTACTACATGTGGACCTCTCTCAGATTTGTTCATTTCGTGATGATATCTTCAATTCTCTAATTTTGGTGAATATTTTTGTAATTTTTGGTAAAAAGTGATATTTTCGACTTCTTGTTGAAAACCGCAAGTCCAATTGCTTTGATATATTATACATATAGGTACTACATGTGGTCCTCTCTCAGATTTGTTCATTTTCTAATGATATCTTCTGTTCTTTAATTGCCATGTGCATTGCTAACAGCGGAGCTATCTCAGCCGACAGGCTGCTTGTTTACTTTTTCGACTTCTTCTTGAAACTACAAGTCTGAATGCTTTGATACTTGGTGTATATGTACCTTGGGTAGACCTCTTTCAGATTTGTTCATTTCATGATCATATCTTCAATTCTCTAATTTTGGTGAATATTTTTGTCATTTTTGGTAAAAAGTGATATTTTCGACTTCTTGTTAAAAACCGCAAGTCCAATTGCTTTGATATTACATATATAGGTACTACATGTGGACCTCTCTCAGATTTGTTCATTTTGTAATGATATCTTTAATTCTCTAATTTTGGTGAATGTTTTTGTCATTTTTGTAAAAAGTGATATTTTCAACTTCTTGTTAAAAGCTGCAAGTCCAATTGCTTTGATATAACATATATAGGTACTACATGTGGTCCTCTCTCAGATTTGTTCATTTTGTAATGATATCTTCAATTTTCTAATTTTAGTGAATATTTTTGTCATTTTTGGTAAAAAATTATATTTTTGACTTCTTGTTAAAAACCGCATGTCCAATTGCTTTGATATTACATATATAAGTACTACATGTGGACCTCTCTCAGATTTGTTCATTTTGTAATAATATCTTAATTTTTCTAATTTTGGTGAATATTTTTGTCATTTTTGGTAAAAAGTGATATTTTCGATTTCTTGTTAAAAACCGCAAGTCCAATTGCTTTGATATTACATATATAGGTACTACATGTGGACCTCTCTCAGATTTGTTCATTTTGTGATGATATCTTCAATTCTCGAATTTTGGTGAATATTTTTGTCATTTTTGGTAAAAAGTGATATTTTCGACGATATCTTCTGTTCTTTAATTGAAATGTGCATTGCTAACAGCGGAGCTATCTCAGCCGAGAGGCTGCTTGTTTATATACTGATACTAAAACCTTTCTAGTCTATTTCTCAGAGAAGCCAGAAGCAATATCAATCAAACTTTAGTATAATGAAAGGTCGTTCATTTCATTTTCATCATGGTCATACATATTGGGTTACAGGTGAAAGTCGTATTTTTCTGGCGAAAAATGGCTGACTGGGTCACTGATTCTGCTGAATATTAGCTCACAGATGTTGTTAAACTTGTGTGGATTTTACTCATCATTGAGATAGACTAATGCCAAACAGAGACCATGAATTATCGATGCTTGTGATTTCAAATTACTGGTACATACAGTTAAGGATTATAAAATTAAAAAGCCAATTTGGTTACTGTAATTTTTTACATAATCCTGATCAAGTGTCCATTCTTAATTTGTGTCTTTTAGCTAGATATATATCAACACATTGCTGTTTGCTCCAAATGTCACTTGTAACATTCATTCATCTATAATTTATATTTGATTTAATATTCACAGAAATGGATTTGACTAGAGAACTGTTGTCTGATGTTAATGCTACACTGGTTGAATTAAAAGACAATAGCACTATACTGGAGCAAGCTTTGGAGAATGTGGCAACATCATTGAATTCAACTGTTGCTGGCTGTATTTTAGATCCATGTACAAAAATTCTGGAGAGTTTAGAAAAGCTTACATTAGGCATGGATTTGGAATCGGTGAGTATTCTGTATCTCTGAAAATTGCCATTACATAATGTATAAATTAAAAAGAAGTGGTTAAATGCCAAAATGCAGATTTCCTTTACGTTTACGTGAAAGAAGGACTAACAGTCTACTGTGTGGTAGCAATTCTGTTTTCAAAATCGCTGTTCTGAAACCC